CCCCAAGAAAACTAGAAGACTTGGACCGACAGGACGCTGCCAGGTTCCGTGGAGTGGTGATGCATTTTCTATTTTCATCTCTCTCTGTCACTTTCTTTCTTCCCTCCCACCTCCTTCCTTTTTTCTATGTCCTTTCTATCTGTCTTTCTCTATCTCACATTTACTATTCAATAAAACCCATACTATTGACTTTGTCATCTGGTCTCATTTCCACCTTAATTGGGGCAGAGGTGTTTGTAATCATTTAAAGAACCAGATCATAGGAACTTGGCAGTGCTGGTTTAATTATTGGTATTGACAATATTAGAGGTCTTTTCCAATCTCGCTGATTCTATGGTTCCAGTCTGTGATTCTAAGTTTGCTTTGCTTTTACTGACAGGAAAGAAAAGAAAATATGGTGTAAGGTGGGAGTTGGGTTTTTTGGGTTTTGCATTGTTTGTTTGGTGGGGTTTGTTTGTTTGTTTGGGGGTTTTAAACTTTTTTTTTCTTCTCTGCATTTGTATGTGAGGACAAGAGAAGCTAATTCTACTACAACAGTTCTGAAAATGAACTGTTTGTACGGGAACTGTGCTTGTACAGGGACGTGAAATGAAAATGTAACACCAGCAGGACAGTACTGTGGCCAGGGTTTGGGCTCAGCTCTGTGTGGGGAATGTGGTACCTTATAAAAAACCTACTGGGAAAAAACCAGACTCTCAAATGCTGCGTTTTCAAAGCCTGGATAGACTGTCTGCCCACACAGGTGCTTGAAATAGAGGTGTCTGCTTTTAATTCAAATCCATCCCCTCCAGCACCACTCAAGAAGGGCAAGGAGTATCCCAGGCTTTGTATCTCCCAGCCCATGCGCATATTTTGGATGCCCTCGTGCATCTCAAAGAGCACCAGGCTGCTGTGTTTGTGTACTGGATGGACACACAGATGTCCTGGCATCTGAGAGACATTGCACACCAATTGAATTGCTTCCATCTGAGTTTGGCTCAGGCTGAACATCTTCCCAATGCACAATCCTTGTCTTTCTCCTTCATGATTGGAAATCCCAGATGAGCAGCCTTGGTTTGCTAAGTACTTAGGCTCTTGGTTGCCCAATTTCTTTTGGGCAAACCCAATCCATTTATAACTGAACCTCAAAGTTCAAAAGGTCACAATTGTTTCAGGATACAATCCTGGGAAAGAGAATAAAAATGTCCTCTGGGCAGATGTTTTGAACTTTTTATGGAAAGAGAGAGACTGTGTTTGGAAAAGGCAATATTACAGTGGTTGAGAGGTTGCTCTGGACTAAATGGTTCTTTCTCTCATTTCATGAAGAGAGAGGAAGGTTTTGGACAGTAGTATTTCCCCACCTCCCACCAGAGCCTTTCACTGCTGGGACTGAAGCCCCTTTGCAGGGGGCAGCTCCTGTGAGCCCATGACTGCCCCACTTGAGCCCCTACACAGACCACACCCACAGAGACACCCCCAGAGTCCTCACCAGCTCCACACTGGGTTTTCCACCGCAGAGTCTCAGACATCTGGATCTTTACAACAATTTAATCGTGACGCAGAAGCAGCACGAGCTGAGGGCCACTGAGAAGGGACCCTCAACAACCAAATCCCTGGATTTTGCACTCTTCCAGTCTATGCACATGATAGCCTGGGGTCTTGGCTCCATGCCTGGGGCTCCTGCTATTTCCTGCCACCCAGAGCACAACCTGCAGCTCTCACTGTAGCTGCACACTGAGCTGTCTGCACTGAATGTATTCCTCAACTATTTCATGTTTAGGTGACCTGCTACAGTAGGGTGACCTTGGGCACACACTCAGTTGCTCCAAATTTGCACGAAGATGCAGTGGCAAATAAGATAGAAAACCTCATGAGTTGAGATAAATACAGAGACATCACTCACCAGTTACTGTCCCAGACACAACAGACTCAAGGAGGGAAAAATGAATTGAATTTATTGCTGTTTCAAAATTGAGTAGGGTGATGAAGAACAAAACCTAAACTAGAACCCCTTGCTCCACCCCCATTCATCCCAGGCTCAACTTCACTCCTTCATTCCCAGAGTCTCTACCTCCTCCCCTACAGCAACGCAGGGGAACAGAAAATGGGGTTTGCAGTCACATCATAATGAGCTGTCTCTCCTCCTTCCTCTTCACATTCTTCTGTTCCAGCGTGGGTCCATCCCGTGGGCTGCAGTCCTTCTGCCTGCACCCGACTATGCCATGGGGTCATCCTGTGGGCTAAAGCGGGATCTCAGCTCCCCCATGGACTTCCATGCATTGCAGAGGCACAGCTGCCTCACCGTGATCCCCTCCAGGGGCTGCAGGGGAATGTCTGCTCTGGCACCTGGAGCAACCCCTCCCCTTCCTTTGCTGTCCCTGTTGCTGCCGGACTGTTTCTCACAATTGCCAGGCCAGGTTTTTGCACTTTTTAATCGATCCTTTCACAGACGAGCCACAACCAGCGCTGATAGGCTGAGCTGTGTCCTGCAGCAGGTCCTTTGGTTTGCCTTGAAGTGGCTTTCCCTGGCACAAGGCAGCCTTGTCCTTGCCTCACTGAGACCCCCACCAGGCCCCAGCTGCCAGCACATGGCCCAAGCACCTTGTACATCTGCCTGTGGGTCACTGTGAGATGACAACAGGACTTTATTCCATGCTGCACCTTGCACAGATCCCACTTTCCCACTGGGAAGAGCCGATCTCACCTGCAAGTTGAAAGCAGAGCAGGAGAGCAGTCCCACAGAGTGGGGCAATCCTGTTCTTGCAGGAAGTGGGGCAGAGAGGACACTCAGGGCTGGTGTGGGAAGTGGGCTCTGCACCCAACTGTGCACCCCACGGCCATTCCTGCATCGCTGCTTGTGTGTCAGTGACAGCTCTGGAGACTGACAGGGATCAACACGTTCACACATCAGTTATCAACCCCTGCCAGACAGTGATACAGCTCATCATCTTACACGAGATCAGGGCCACAGAAGCAAGGAATGTCAACTAAAACAGACAGAAACCTGTTGTTTAGTTCAGTCATTTAAATCAGCAGATGAAGAAGCATTTGTTGCAGATTTGCACTATTGTTACTGCCCTTTTGCAGCCAGTCAATGTATGCAAGGTCAAAATGACTTTGCTATCAACAGTAACTTAGCTCTGGAAACTATCTAAATGAAATGAGAATAATAATAGATTTACATCACAACTATATTAGTTTCAAGACTTTGAAGGATGTATTCTGAACATCTGGATCATCTACGCTGGCTGGAGAGTTGCCCTGGAAATTAATTGACTTGTTTGCTCTAAAGAAATAGTCACATTTTGCAAAGGGTCCAGCTTTTGTTCCAGTGCCTACTTCACACAAAACTTGCATTTCATATAGGATAGAATCTTTAGCAGTGTGTTTTCCAGATTGGGATTGCTGAAAATTACAATAAGGGAATGAAAACTCGGAAAAGCATACTGAAATACATAAAAAAGAAACTTCAGGTGATTTTGCCTCTTAATTGCAGAAGTCAGTGATAAGATAAAAAATACAAAGTTCATGCTGTACATTATGAAAAAGGAGAGAATGCATTTCATGGCTTTGATGTGGACATCCATGCTGAGGTCCTTCATGGAGTGTGTCTGCATGTTGCGTTTGTGTCTCCAGAGGGAAAAGAGAAGCAGAAGGGCAGAAAAGATGACTGCTGTGAATGGAGTGGCATAGCTGAAGCCAATGCTAAAAGAAAAGGGGAGAAAATATTCCTCTCTTCTGATCCTTGCTTTCCAAATGCATTCTTGGCAGGTCAAATTGAGGTTCTTACAGAAAGC